GGAATGCCAATAATTCTTAAGTTATTCCTCTTCATGTTGTCCAACATGAATCTTAGGCCTTCTTCAGATTTTTTTTATCCTTTTTTGTATTTGCTCTTCTATCTTAGTAGTAATGTTGAGAGATATATCTTCTAGCTCACTAGTTCTGGCTTCTATCTCTTAAATTCTACTCCTTCGCCCCTTCAGTGTATTGTCCATTTCTGATATTCTATTATTGTTTGGACCTCTTTCTGTAGGTTTTGAATTGTTTCCAATGCTGTATTTATCTTATTTGATTCTTCCTATAGTGCTTTCCTGACTTCTTCCTTATTTTTCTCAACTCCATTATAAAATGTTTTGGTACATTTTATAACCATTTTTCTGAATTCCTTCTCAGGCATTTCCAAAGCCTGCCCATCTTCCAGTATGGAATGTAGGTCTACTTCCAGCTCATTTGCCTCAGTCACTTTATCTCATTTCTGGACATGTGCAGATATGGTCATCAGCTTGTTTTTTGGGCATCTTCAGGGGTTATCTGTGGCTTTAATACTTAGATGGGTGTGTCTTTTGGTGTTTTTTTATGCTTTCTGATTGCCTCCAGGTAGATGTGATCAGGAAATGGGTTTCCCTTTTCACTCTTCTTGAGAAATTTCAAGATGCCACTGTTGGTCGTTGTGACATAACTTAGGATTTAATTTTTCGCCTATTTCCTTTTTTGTCTGCCTGTCCCGCTCCACAATCCCTGTTCAGACCTTTTTTTCTAGTTATAAACAGTTCAGGGCCAGCTGTGGCCGATTGGCTTTAAGTGGGAACTGTCTCTTTAAATTTCAAGGAGATCTGTGCATGCGCATGCGTAGTAGAACCCTCCGAGTGTGGGGCTGGAGTGTCCGCTAGCTCAGATACCCCGATAGTCACCAGAATGGAGGTATGCAGACAGCAAGGGACCAATGAACAGCTACCAAAAGAAAAGAATGTCCATATCTTTATCTCCGCGGTTCTGTCAGGCGTCCATGGCTGCTCAGATCCTTCTCCTGCTTGGTCTCACCCAAGATGGTGGCTTCTGGAGCAGCTGAGCATCTTTAATTAGAAAGCAGTGGATTTCTTGCTTCTGCTACAAATTCCCCCAGCTGTAAGTCTTCCAACCTTCTAAATATTCCTTTATATGTGGTTCAGAGTTCTGGGACCATCCCCTGAGCCTGCTTGGTCCTGTATTCTGTGTTATTGCTGACGGAGCTCCTTTATTGCACATCCACCTGACCCGCCATCTTGTTTGTTCTCCACCCAATAGTTTTTTGTAGTGGGATACAGTAGTTTCACATGCATGTGAAAGTTGAACAGTGAATAAGGAAGACCATAGAAGAATTAGTGTATTTGAGTTATGGTGTTGGAGAAGAATATCAAATGCACCAAGTACCATAAACTAACTGCCAGAAGAACAAACCAATCTGTGTTGGAAGAAGTACAGCCAGAATATTCCCTAGAAGTCAAGACAGCAAAACTTCATCGCTCAAACTTCAGACATGTTATCAGGAAGAACCAGTCCCTAGAGAAGAGCACCGTGCTTGGTAAAGTAGAGAATCAGTGAAAAAGAGGAAAACCCCCAACGAGATGGATTGGCACAGTGGAAGCAGCAGTGGGCTCAAGCATAACAATTGTGAGGATGGGACAGGACTAGGCAGTGTTTCATTCTGTCGTGCTTAGTGTCACTATGAGTTGGAAATGACTCGACAGCACCTAACAACAAACAAGTGGAAACCACATGTTGGGTTTGTGGGGTGGGGCCCATTTCTTCAGATTCACACAGTTATCCAGGTCCCTACTAGATGACAGCATGTTTTCAAAGTGGGATAGCCAAGCCCCACTAGGTCCCAGTGGCAGAAAATATAAGTGGGCACTATATGTCCCGTGGGAATTCTGGCTGGCCTGTTCAAGCTCACCAGCCACTCCTCAGAAACACTATACAGGGTTGCTGTGAGTTGGAACTGACTCAACAGCACATAACAGCAACAACATGTGTCCCATGAGTCACAAAAGGGTTAAAAGAGATGATTGTGTCTAAAATATCTATTGTTGCAGGATACCACTGAGTAGAACTTTAGAGCAATCCTACAGGGCAGAGTAGAACTTCCTGCATAGGGATTTCTAGGTGTCTTCTTTCCGGGAGTAGATTGCCAGTGGGTGGGTTCAAACTGCCAACCTTTCAGTTCATAGTCCAGTGCTTAACTGTAACACCACCAGGGATCCTTGTAAAATGTCTTACTCAGAGGGAATGTGCTGTCAGTAAGAAGTTCCTCTGGGTCCTGCCCTGTGCCCCTTTTTCTAGCATCCCTAATGTGAGCACCTAGAAGTAGAGGGTTTAGCACAGCCATTGGGATAATTAGGAATCCCAGTTTGAGGGGAGGGTTTTCCTGAAAGGCTCAATCCTGGTTCCCATCACTTACTGGCTATGTATAACTCACTTCATTGTCCTGAGCCTCGCTCTCCGTACTAGTAAACATATATAACCACATCAGGGTGGGTGTGCATTGGAAATGCATTTCAGGTATCAGACATTTATAAGGTGAGGCTGTGACAATACTGAGTCTCCTTCCCGAATCCACAGGTTGGAAGCTTTGCAACACGAAACCCTGCTCAGAGAGGGCTCAGAAGTTCAGTGAGTCGTGATTTTTGTACTGAGTCCAGACAAAGGTCACAAGCATGCATTCTGCAAACCAGAATTTGTTTCACCCCTAGTTTTAATTGTGTTCCAGTTCGTCGCCAACATCTAAAAATTGTGGTCTTACATATAGTAAATGCTTCTTTTAAAAACTCAACTGTGGCCAGCATTCCTACCTAGCTTCATTTGCCTGGAGCTCAAGCTGCCTGCCAGCCCACCCGGGCACAAGAATTAGAGAGTGCAGAATTCTGAGTGATTTTCTCTTCACAGGGTGGCTCCTCTGGCCGGGGCACAGCTCTGAGGGGCAGCTGTGATTCTGAACTTGTCATCTTCCTGAATTGCTTCAAGAGCTATGCGGACCACGGGGCTCACAGTGCAGAGATCCTCAATGAGATGAGGGCACAGCTGGAATCCTGGTGGATGGCCCCTATCCCCGGCCTAAGCCTTGAGTTTCCAAAGCAGGACACACCATTCTTGGCACTGCTGTTTCGACTGGTGGCGTCTGAGGACCCCGAAATTTGGATGGACGTTCGCCTGGTGCCCGCTTTTGATGCCCTTGGTGAGAGGTTGCCCTGCCTGTGGACCAGGGTAGGGCAAAATCATCCTGTGATTCCTGGGAGTGAAACAGAGTTTTCAGTTCCAGTTCTGTCACCCATTTACAGTGTGATCGATAGCCCACTCTGGGCCTGTGTCTTAATGGAACATATTGAGATTTTAGGAGTGAGACAGGATTCCAGGAGGCCTACTTCCTCCTGTATCTGTGTTATCTAGAGGCTTGGCCTTCTCCCATGCATCTCTGGAGAATTTCCTTCAGCCACTGCCTAGAGAAATCTGCCCAAGCTTTCCACTAATACCCCAAGACAAAGGCCTTCAAAGGATCATATGCCCAGCATCTGGGGCCTGAGAACAAGGCCACAGTTCTGCAGAATCATGTATTTCATCATGAGAATGTTAATGTGATTTTAGTATTCTCCTCCATGATGAGCCCACGTTTGGTTTAATATAAAAATATGCCTCCATGCCCTCATCTGTAAAATGGGAATAACAATGGTGTGTTACTATAGGATCAGTGCTGGACTGTGAACCATAAGGTCAGCAGTTCAAGCCCACCAGCTGCTCCTCGGAAACCCTATACACTGTCGCTATGAGCAGGAACTGACTCGACACATAATAAGAAGCAACAACTTACAGAGCCGTTGGAAGGATTAAATGTGTTAATATATGGAGGAATTTAGAACAGTATTTAGTACATGATTGTAAGTATGTGCTGGTGAGGCACTGTAGGGTAAGCACGAGACTGCTAACCTTAAGGTCAGTGGTTCAAACCCACCAGTCACTCCTCAGAAAGCTTATCCAGGGTCACTATGAGTCAGAACCAACTTGATGGCACTCAACAACAACAAAAAGCATATGGTATTCGTCTATCATGATTACTATTGTTTCTATTATTATTATTATTTATGCTGGTACTCCAAAAACCAGACCAAACCCATAGTAATTGACGTATTTCAGCTCACAACGACTCTATGGGACAGATTAGAAGAGCTCCATAGGGTTTCTGAGACTGCAAATCTGTATGGGAGCAAACAGCCTCATATTTCTCATATGGAGCAGTTGAATCACCACCCTTGTAATTCACAGCCTAGTGCTTAATCCACTATGCCACCAGGACTCCTTTCTGGTACCCCAGGAGATAGCTATCCCGAGTTTATTTTGTAGACTAAGAGGTTCTGACACACAACCACACTCCCCCATGTCTAGTCTGCCCACCGCCCCAAAGCACACGTGATTGTTGATCAGTGCTATAGGGTCAGTTCTGACTCACAGCAATGCTGTATAAGATTTCCAAGGAGTGGCTAGTGGGTTCGAACAGCCGACCTTGCAGTTCAAACTCACCTTTGGGTCCAGAGCATTATCCTACAGTGCCACATGCACATATATTAGTCATAAAAAAAAAAAAAGTTGCTAAGCCGTGGACTCCGATTTACGGCGATCCTATGTATGCAGAGTACAACTGTATTTCACAGGGCTTCCAAGGCTGATTTTTCCGAAATATATTACCAGGCCTACCTCCTGACAAACATGGGGTTGCTAGGAATCAGAGTCGACTTGACAGTATCTGGCCTACTAGAGGGAATTTCAAGGAGGAATGAATTGTCAGGTTTAGGTACTTTGACACAGGTGTTTACCCACCTGACCACTCTTCCGGCCTCACCCACTGGCGGAGAGACACGCCCCCCCTTTCCAGCCTGGCTCACAGCTCTTCCTCCCTCTGGATCCTCAGGACAGCTCAGCTCAGGTGTCAAACCCAAGCCCCAGGTCTATTCCACCCTGGTCAACAGCGGCTGTCGGCAGGGCGAGTATGCTGCCTGCTTCACAGAGCTTCGGAGAGACTTCGTGAACACCCGGCCCGCCAAACTGAAGAACCTGATCCTGCTGGTGAAGCACTGGTACTACCAGGTGAGGATACCTTTGGAGGTGTGAATCTCTGCTTCCAAAAGAGTGAGACTCTTATGCTTGCTGACGCTTCATGTTTCTCTTTCTTGGAATCGTCTATTCATGTTTTTTGTCCATTTATTTCTATTGGGCTATTGTTAAGTGCCATCAAGGCGGTTCAATATCAGAGAGACCCTGTATAAGGGTTTTTCCAAGGAGCAGCTGGTGAGTTTGAACTGCCGACCTTGTGGTTAGCAGTCCAGTGTTGATCCACAGCGCCACACTAGCTGTCTTCTTATGGTTGATTTCTTGGTGCAGTTTATATATTCTGGGCACTGACTCTTAATCAGTTCAAAGTATACAAATGTCTTTTCCCAGTTTGTAGCTTGTCCATGGGTCTTTGACATAGAAGATATTTGAATTTCAATGTAATCAGATGTATTCATCTTTTTCCTGTATAATTTGTGCTTTGTGTATCTTGTTTCAGAAATCTTTCTCTATTTCATCTTTCTAAAAGTATTTTCCTATTTTTTTTTCCCCAAAATTGTTTTATGTTTGAAGCTTTGGCCCATCTTGAATATTCTGTATATGGTATGAGGTAATCTTAAACTTGGACATACCTTGCCCCAGCACCCTTCCATGCTTGTTTACAGACCCTTGTGCTTTGGGAAAGATGTGCCCAACTCTAGGAAGACAGAAAAGCAGGCCCCTGAAGTCTTAGGGCATATAGTCTGATCCTTCTGTTAGACTCATTTATCATAACATAGTTTTCATTATGAAGAAATCCTGGATTCCAATTCTGACTAAGACATATGGGCTCTATGATCCCAAGCAAGTTCCTATCCTTCTCTGGTCCTCTGTTTCCTCTACTGTATATAAAGGAGTATATCTGTCTTTATGAAGTATATGAAGGAGTGTATGGAGTCCTGGTGTAGTGCTGTAGGATAAGCATTGGACTACTAACTACAAGGTTGGTGGTTCAAACCTTGGAAACCCTACACAGGTTTGCTAACCACAACAATGGGGTCTTTAAGTCTTGTCCAGCTCCACAGGGCTCCATAGGAGCAAGACATGCTGACGAATAGCCTGATATGAAAAGGTCACTCTGAATCAAGCTTGCCTGGGGGACAAATCCTGGCACTGTCACTTATGTGCTGTGTGACTGTGGACAGGTTACCTCACCCTCGTATATAGGTTTCTTCATCTGTAAAGGGGTGGTTTGCTAGCTGGAGGGATATATTTAAGTGTGTGCCAGCTCTTTTTTTTTTCTTATGATACTTATAACCATCACCACCACCAAGGTCAGGTAGTGTACTAGGTTTGGGAGGTGTGGCAAAGAGGCCCCCCAAAATAAGACAGCTAATAAGACAGCTGTCAGAGGTCACAAAAAAATGACTCCAAGAGAAGGCATGAAATAAGACATCTGGGGTGGATCATGAAAGAGTCAAGTTGGACCGGGAAGAATGAAGAAGTGTGAGCCTAGTTTAGGAGAACCTGGAGTGCTTGGGGACCACTAAGCAATATGATAGGAACTGGCATGCTATAGGCAATAAGATCAGAAGGAGCTGACTGTGGTGTGAAGGGGAAGAGGAAGCTAATGAGGTGGACAACGGTCAGACCAAGCAGCACTTTGCTGATAAGTTGAGAAGTCACCCTGAGGGCAATGGAAACCATGTTATTGTTAAGTGTCTTTGAGTTGGTTCTTACTCACAATAACCCTCTATAGGCTTTCCAAAGCTGTAAATCTTTTCAGGAGCAGAAAGCCTCATCCTTTTCTAGAGATGCAGCTGGTGGGCTCGAATTTCCAACTTTGTGGTTATCAGTCCAGTGTTTATCCTGCAATGCTACAGTGCTCCCAGTGGGGGTTCATGAATGGTGGTTTACCCTCAGGGGAGGGGAAGAGGGAAGGATGTGCTCAAATGTATGTCTGTTTGGGAGGACAGTTGGTTGTAGGGACCGAGACTGAGAACCATGAGGAGGCAGGGGCAGTTGTCAGGGTGAGAGGCTGACATATGGACCCAAACAGATCAGAGGATTCAAAAGAAGCCGACTGAAGAGTCCCTTATGAGCCAGCCATTTGGGTGAAGTGCCAATAATGAGAACACGAGAGAGAGACCAGCCAGGCTTGCTCCCGGACGAGGGTCAAACATATCTGTTTATTCCAGACTAGACCTGTAGGTTCCCACCCCAGATTTCAATCCCCAGGAAGTTCTGCAGAGAATAGACTCTCTTCCTTCCCCTTCCTCCTTCTGAGCATCTCCTTCCACCCATTTACAGGTGTGCCCACCAGAGTTGCAGAGGGAGACCCTGCCCCCAGTTTATGCCCTGGAATTGCTGACCATCTTTGCCTGGGAGCAGGGCTGTGGCAAAGATGCCTTCAGCCTAGCCCAAGGTCTCCGAACAGTCCTGGGCCTCATCCACCAGTACCAGCACCTGTGTGTTTTCTGGACTGTCTACTATGACTTCGAGGACCCTACAGTAGGGCAGTTCTTGCGGGACCAGCTCAAAAAACCCAGGTACATCCTCACCATTATCTGCTCCTCTGAGGCTGTGGGCCATGGAAAAATAATTAATCATGGTGAAGCAGGTCATATCGACTAAAGGCTTGGATGGAGACCAAAACTAAATGCTACACTTGCATTTCTTAAATCAGTGATTCCAGCCCCAGATGCACATTTGAATCACCTAGGAAGTTTTTGGGTAGTTTGTGAATCCTTGGGTAGAGCAAACGGTAAACACACTGAGCTGCTAAACCAAAAGATTGATGGTTTACACCTCAGAAGAAAAGCCTGGTAATCTACTTCCAAAAGATCCCCCTATGGAACACAATTCCACTCTAAAACTCATGGTCACCATGATACAGAATCAACTCAACAATAACGGGTACTAGAGGGATGTTTTAAAAATATACCCATGCCCTATTACTACAGTGTAACATGTTGTTGTTAGGTGCCACCAAGTTGGTTCTGACTCATTACAACCCTATGTACAACACTGCAGAACGAAACACGATTTGGTCTTAAGCTGTCCTCACAGCTGTTACGTTTGAGCCCATTGATGTAGCTATTCTGCCAATCCATCTCATTGGAGGGCTTCCTCTTTTTTGCTGACCCTCTACCAACTAAGGAGCTTTGGTAGCACAGTGGTTACGAATCGGGCTGTGAACCGCAAGGTCAGCAGTTCGAAACTACCGGCTTTTCCACTGGAGAAACAGGAGGCTTTCTGCTCCCATAAAGATTTACAGCCTCGGAAACCCTGTTCAGGGCTGCTATGGGTCAGAACTGACTCGATGGCACTTAACAACAACAACTACCAAGTAAGATGTCCTTCTCCAGGGACTTGTCCCTCCTAGTAATACATTCAAAGTACGTGAGTTGATATCTCACCATCCTTGGCTTCTGAGTAGCATTCTGACTGTACTTCTCCCAAAACTGATTTATTCATTCTTCAAGCAGTCATTGGTATATTCAATATTCTTCACCAACGTCATATTCAATTACATTAATTACTCTCTGGAGGTCTTCCTTATTCATTGCCCAGTTTTCACATCCATATGAGGTGATTGAAATTACCATGACTTGGGTCAGGCCCACCTTAGTCCTCACACTGACATTTTGCTTTTTAACACTTAAAAGAGGTCTTTTGCAGCAGATGTGCCCAATGCAGTATGTCATTTTATAATTGTTGCTCGCATTGATTGTGGATCCAAGTTAAATGAAATACTTGACAACTTTAATCTTTTCTCTGTTTCTCTTGATATTGTTTATTGTTATAGGTCCAGTAGCAATGATTTTTGTTTTCTTGTCAATGTTGTTGTTAAGTGCTATCGAGTCCGTTCTGACTCATAGCTACCTTGTGTAGGGTTTCCAAGGAGCGGCTAGTGAGCTTGAACTGCCAACCTTGTTCAAACCAACTTTGCAGTCCAGCACATTACCCCACAGCACCACACCAGGACATCTTAAATGCACATTTTGATAATTGTCTAGGAAATTGAATGTAGCTATGAAACCAGCAGAAGCTTCCATTATGTCTCCTCAGAAGCACCCAGAATTAGCACAGAGAAAAAAACGAGTCATAGACATTTTACTCTGATGAATCCAGCCAGTACCTTTTTCCCCCCTCTACACCAGATTGCTATTTCCTTTCCTATTGGTAGTTGGGCTTTCTTCATGCAAATTTCAAAAGGTTTCATGGACCTAGTGAGTAGAGAGCCAGAGACTACCTTGTGACTTGTTATCTGTGGATCTCAGTAAAGGGAGAGATTAGAATTCAATCATGTTAGGATTAGCTAATTGTTGCTCTTCTTCTCCCTCCCTTTGTTTGTTTGTTGTTTATTTTTATTTAAGGTTTTTATTGTGGATTGAGTGAAAGTTTACAGGGCTTATCATCAGTTTTACATTCAACAAATCATAAACCTTGTTTCATTACATTGATTATAATCCCCGCCATGTACCATCAGTTAACAGTATTTCTCTCTATCCACTTTAGCTTTTTTAAAAACACACAAACAAAAAAAAC